TGCACAGCTTCATGGATATACTAAAAACTACTGAATTATACACAATAAAAGAGTAAAATTTATGGTGTGTGAATTATATCTCAATTTCAAGAGTGGACATAAGCCAATCCTGAGCCTTAAACATGCTTGATCAATTTTAGAAAAGAAGAAAATTATCGTAGTCTTTAATGTAGCAGATTGAAAAAACACAAGAAGTAGTAATTTCAAAGAAATAAGGGAAGAAAATTATACCTATGATACATTAATGATTTAGAAATTAGGCTGGCATGGTGGCTTATGCCTGTAATTCCAACACTTTGGGAGGCTGAGGCAGGAGGATCACTTGAGTCCGGGAGTTCGAGGCTGCAGTGGGCTATGATTGTGTCACTACACTCTAGCCTGGGGCACAGAGTGAGACACTCTCTCTAAAAAAAAAAGCAAAAAACAAAACAAAAAACCACACACATACACACACACACACACACGCACACATGCACATGCACACACACTCCAGTAATAATTACCAACTAAATCTCAAAACTGGCTCAAATGCAGGACAAAGGAAGAGACGCAACAATAAGGTAGAAAATCTTATGGCAAATGTAATCAACAAAAAGAAATAGCACATGTACTACAAATGCATAATTATAATAGCTCTGAAAAATTTAATTATAAAAAGCTACTTTTTTTTGAGATAGAGTCTCGCTTGTTGCCCAGGCTAGAGTGCCGTGGCGTCAGCCTAGCTCACAGCAACCTCAAACTCCTGGGCTCAAGCGATCCTCCTGCCTCAGCCTCCCGAGTAGCTGGGACTACAGGCATGCGCCACCATGCCCAGCTAATTTATATATATATATATATATATTAGTTGGCCAATTAATTTCTTTCTATTTATAGTAGAGACAGGGTCTCGCTCTTGCTCAGGCTGGTTTCGAACTCCTGACCTCGAGCAATCCGCTCGCCTCGGCCTCCCAGAATGCTAGGATTACAGGCGTGAGCCACCGCGCCCGGCTATAAAAAGCTACTTTATGATAGCAAAACTTTATTCTAATCCAAACTCTGAAAAATGGATAAATTTTTTTGGGAAAAAAACCCCAAACTAATAAAATTGATTCAAGAACAAGCAACAAATTCTAGTAGACCAAATAATAATGGAACAAAAAATGAAGTTTTGAAGAATTTGCCCCAAATAAGGCTCTGTTGCCAGAAAGCTTTATAGATACTTTTTAAAAAGATGATAAAGAAACAAAAATCTCTATGTTATGTTTATGTACTGATTCCAGAGCATAAAAAGATGAAAACCTGCCAGATTCACTTTGTGAAACTGGCCTATGTCTAATGTCAAACCTTGACAAAAAGTTGTAGAAAAGAGCCTGACTTTTGGACAGAGATCTGAGTTGAGTCCCCACAGCCAGGTTCCAGCCAGCAGACAGGGTTTGTGTGGCACCGCTGTATCTCGCTGTTCTTTCCAATTAAGCCAGTGTTTAAAAATTGAGAGGTTTCACACAAAATCCAGATTTCTGGCTACTCCAGAAAAATGAAAAGATATGAAATCACAGAGACCACTTCTTTTTAAAATTTTTTAATTGACAAATAATAATTGTGTATATTTATGGGGCACAACGTGATTTGATCTATGCATACATTATGGAAAGAATCAACCAAGCTAATGGACGTACCCATTACCTTACTAATTTATCTTTTTTTGTGTGTGGTGAGAACTTTAAAAATCTATTTAAGAGGCTGGGCGCGGTGGCTTACGCCTGTAATCCTAGCACTCTGGGAGGCCGAGGAGGGCGGATTGCTTGAGGTCAGGAGTTCTAGACCAGCCTGAGCAAGAGCAAGATCCCGTCTCTTCTATAAATAGAAAGAAATTAATTGGCCAACTAATATATATAGAAAAAATCAGCCGGGCATGGTGGCGCATGCCTGTAGTCCCAGCTACTCGGGAGGCTGAGGCAGGAGGATTGCTTGAGCCCAGGAGTTTGAGGTTGCTGTGAGCTAGGCTGATGCCACGGCACTCACTCTAGCCTGGGCAGCAAAGTGAGACTCTGTCTCAAAAAAAAAAAAATCTATTTAAGCAATTTTGAAATAAAAAAAACATTATAATGCACTGTGGTCACCATGCAGTGCGAATGATTACTAAAGCTTATTCCTCCAGCTTAACTGAAACTTTGTACCCTTTGATCAACATCTCCCCCTCCCCATTCTTTCTTCTCCACCCCCAACCCCTACTGGTGTCTGGTAACCTCCTTTCTAATTGATCTCTAAAGAGATCGACTTTTTAAGATCCTACATATGTGAGATCATTCGATACTTGTCTTTCTGTGCTTGGCTTATTTCACTTAACATAATGTCCTCCAGTTCCATCCGTGTTGTCATGAATGACAGAATTTCCTTCTTTGAAAAGACTATATAGGCTGGGCGCAGAGGCTCACGCCTGTAATCCTAGCATTCTGGGAGGCCGAGGCGGGTGGATTGCTCGAGGTCAGGAGTTCGAAACCAGCCTGAGCAAGAGCGAGACCCCGTCTCTACTATAAAAAGAAAGAAATTAATTGGCCGACTAATACATATAGAAAATAATCAGCCAGGCATGGTGGCACATGCCTATAGTCCCAGCTACTCGGGAGGCTGAGGCAGGAGGATCACTTGAGCCTAGGAGTGTGAGGTTGCTGTGAGCTAGGCTGATGTCACAGCACTCACTCTAGCCTGGGCAACAAAGTGAGACTCTGTCTCAAAAACAAAACAACAACAACAAAAAAAACACTAAATAGTATTTCATTGTATGTATACACCACATTTTCTTTATCCATTCATGAGCTGATAAATATTTAGGTTGCTTTTGCTTCCATATCTTGGCTATTGTGAATAATGCCATGGGAGTGCAAATATCTCTTCAACGTACCGATTTCAGGTCCTTTAGACAGACACCCAGAAGTGGCATTGCTGGATCAGATGGTAACTGTTTTCTAAAACAGCCGTATTGATTTAAATTCCTACCAACAGCATATAAGGTTCCCTCGTCTCCGCATCCTTGCCAACGCTTGTCATTTGTCTTTTTGGTAATAGCTATTCTCATAGGTATTAGGTGATATCTCACGGTGGTTGTAATTTGCATTTCCCTGATGATTAGTGATGTTGATCATTTTTTCATATATCTGTTGGCCATTTGTATCCCTTCTCTTGAGAAATGTCTGTTACTCATTTTTTACTTGGGCTATTTGTCTTCTTGCTATTGAGTTATTTGAATTCCTTACATATTTTGAGTATTAGCCCCTTATCAGATGTATGGTTTGCAAATATTTTTTCCCAATCTGTGAGTTGTGTCTTCACTCTGTGAATTGTTTCCTTTGCTGTGTAGAAGCTTTTTAGTTTGATGCGATCCCATTTGTCCACGTCTGCTTCTGTTGCCTGTGTTTTTGGGGTCATATCTGAGAAATCATTGCCCAGACAATGTCATGGGGCATTTTCCTTATTTTTTTCTTCTAATACTTATACAGTTTCAGGTCTTGCATTTAAGTGTTTTACCTGTTTTGAATTGATTTTTGTGTATGGGGTAACATAAGGGTCTGATTTCATTCTTCCGCATGTGGTTGTCCAGTTTTCCGAACACTATTTATTGAAGGGACTGACCTTGCCCCACTGTGTGTTCTTGTCACAGAGCCCATTTCTTTTTCTTTTTTTTTTTGAGACAGAGTCTCACTTTGTTGCCCAGGCTAGAGTGAGTGCCGTGGCGTCAGCCTAGCTCACAGCAACCTCAAACTCCTGGGCTCAAGCAATCCTTCTGCCTCAGCCTCCCAAGTAGCTGGGACTACAGGCATGTGCCACCATGCCTGGCTAATTTTTTATATATATAGTAGTTGGCCAATTAATTTCTTTCTATTTATAGTAGAGACGGGGTCTCGCTCTTGCTCAGGCTGGTTTTGAACTCCTGACCTTGAGCAATCCGCCCACCTCGGCCTCCCAGAGAGCTGGGATTACAGGCGTGAGCCACCGCGCCGGGCCTCCCATTTCTTGTACGAGGACAATGCGCTGGAGTGGAACGAGGTCCTTTGCTCTCAGATTGCCGTGGTCCCCACTGTTTGCCAGCGTCTCTCTGACACAGATGCCTTGTGTCATTTGCCATTTGTTGTCATGCTTGAAGTGCCGTTTTTCTTACAGTAAAGAAACATTTGCCTGTATCCTGAATCTTTCAAAGATGAGCAAATGAGAGAAAGAATGAGACAAATATATATTTTAAGAAAATGCTGCCTTACTGTCTATACTACTTGCCTTACTACTAGCTGTAGTAATCAGGACAGTGAGGGACTGGCATACAGATGGGCAAATAGATCAATGGAACAGAATGGGAAATCTATAAATAATCACAAATTTGCTACTTGACAAGGGGCCAAAGCACTTCCATGAAGAAGACGGGAGCTGTGTGATACGTATCCCACTGCACATGGAGACCAGTGAGCATCACTGTTTCCGTGGACTTCAAAGGCTTCCCCCGGGGTGGCTCACCAGGGCACAGCCACTGGAAACCACTAGAACCACCAGGAACAGTCGAGAGTCAAGCGGCTGTGATTCTTCTGTGGAAATGGGTCTTCTGGTGTTTCTTCCCCTCTAGACCGGTATAACACAAAGGTGTTTGCAAAAGGACAGACCTTGAAAGATGCAGATTACATTGGCCATGAGCAGGAGGAGAGGGGTGAATTAGGAGAAGCTATTATTGCTCAGTGTCAACATTGTTGTTTCTTTTGGGGTCAGTGGCTGTGCTGTGCAGGGACTTTCCTGGTTGGTTTGACCCAGTGGAACATTGAAGGGTAAAAGGTTTGTCATGTGGGAGGTGTATTTCTTCCTTGAGTGTTATTGAACTCATGTGACACTGGGATTTGGGAGCTATTCCCAATGCAGGAGGCGGTGGCCCTGCCCTTGGGGTGGGAGGTGACAGGGACATGGATTTGTGTTTTCCAGGCTACTCCACTGCTGGGTATCCAGTGACCGGTCCAGGAGCAGCAAGAGGGCCAGAGCAGGGCTCACTGACCGTGCAGTGTCGTTATGAGCCAGGCTGGGAAACCCACAAGAAGTGGTGGTGTCGAGGTGCTCATTGTCGCAGCTGCAGGATCCTTGTCATGACCACTGGATCGGAGCAGGAGGTGAAGAAGGACCGTATGTCCATCAGGGACAGTCACAAAAACCACACGTTCACGGTGACCATGGAGGAGCTCAGGAGAGATGACGCTGACACTTACTGGTGTGGGATGGAGAGAACCGGAATTGACCCTGGGGTCCCAGTTGAGGTGACCATTGACCCAGGTAAGAGGGTGCGAGGTCTCTCAGGGACTGCCCTGCCCTGGTCCTTGAATTCACACTCCAGGGAGGTAACTGTCACTGAGTGTCACCTGTCGCCGAGGAGGGTTCAGTCCTGAGGTCTCCTAGAGCCTGACTGACCACTTGGCGTCGGAGGGCAGGGCTTCTCTGTGCCCCGTGCTCCCAGGATGGGTCAAGCCTTTCTGGCACATTTTTCCCTCTGAACAGCTCAGTGTCCATGTCTGTTGCTCACAGGGGTCACGATGATGGTCCCAGCTGCAGCCCATGGGCCAAAGATTCCCCCTTCCATGGCACCCAGAGACCCCAACCTGCCAGTGCCTTCCTAGGACATCAGGTTCTCAGGTGCTCCCTGCTCTCAGTGGAGTCTGGGCTGGGGCTTCCCAGCCGCTGTTGCCACCCCCATCCCACATCCACGCTGAGGGAAGAGAGGCCCGGCGTTGTTGGGTGCTGGGTGTGATTCCTGAGGTCCAGAAAGGCCTTCACAGTCAAACAGCTGCGTTCCTGGGGCTGAGTCCCACCAAGCTCCAGTTACGCATTTGGGCTTAACGAGGTTGTCTTCCCACGTCCTTGTAGAATGCAGACACTCCTGGGGGGCTCAGCTCCTCAGCCCCAGGGGCTTGGTTTGCATGAGTCTGTGTGTTGGGCTGGGCTTCTGCTCCCCTCAGGCAGCTGGTACCAGCTCGAAGGCCCTGTGGCATGGGGTCAGCACTGCAGTCCTCAGGGCCACACGCAGCACCCGGGACCTCTGGGGCATGGTCTTGTTTGCAAAGTGCAGAGCATATATTGTCTCACTGAACCTCACGACACCCCTGGGAAGTAGGTATCCTCATCATTGAAGCTTCACAACTTGCCAGGAGTCAAGGTTCTTCCTGAACATTAGGATTTTGTTCAGGGCAGATTCTGACCGTTGATGTCCCAGGTCTAGGGTATATGTCAGCTGCTCTGCAAGTCCCCAGTCTGCTCCTGTCTTTGCCGGGTCAGTGAGGTGGGGGGAGGATTGGCTGAGGCATTGGCATGAGCAGCAGGATTGTTTCAAGTTCAGCTGGCTCCAGCTGTCCTTGTCCTCAGGCTCCTCCTAGGCCCCCTCTAGCCTCCCTGGGCCTGTCCCCTGCCCCACCTGACTCGGAGGTCTGCAGGCTCAGATCCTCGAGCTGGGCTGTGGGGGGGCCCGTGGGCAGAGCGGTGTGTAATCTGGTTTGTATGCCAGCAACAACTACAGTGTCGACCGCCGCCCCCACCACCAACACGTTTACAGCACTGGTCACCCTGGAAAAGACTGCCAGCTCCCCGATGGTGACCAGCTATCAGTCTGGTAACAGGTAAGCCAGTTCCAACGCCGCTGTTCCCTGTGGCCCACTTGGCCCGAACTCCTCCAATGGGGGAACCCTTTGGAGTCTCGGTCCCAGCCAGAGCTTGCCCTGGACCTGCAGCCTCCTCGGCGAGCGTGGAGATGCTGGGGGACCTTGCCACTTGCTCTCAGGCCACACAGTGTCCTTCCAGCCCCCACGGCGCCTTCGACCTGAAGCTCAGTGCAGTTTGTAGGTTTGTTGGTTCGTTCATTCATTCATTGCACTTTTACTGAGCTAGCCTCTGCATGGCCGCGAGCTCTGAGGACAAAGACGTGGACTGTCCCCTGTGCAGCCCAGAGCTTAGGGTGGGAGACAGACGAGTGGCTGTCAGTGGGGGCAGTGTGGCCAGCGTGAGTGTGGGCACAGGGTCGTGGGGCTACAGGATGGTTCTTGGCCCAACTTCTGGGAGGACAGGGGGCCTTTGGGATGTCCTATTTCCCTAAACACTCCTCTAATTACTGCTGTGGCAGGGAAACAATGACATTGATAGTCCCCATGTCTCCACAGCACCCGGCAGCTCCCAGAAGGCTTTCCCGTCCATTGTTTTGTTTCCTTTGACCCTGGCCAGGACCACTACTGCGTTTGCAGGAGTGGGCAGATACGAATGTTCCCATTTTACAGAAGAAGAAACTGAGCCTCGGTCCCTTCCTCTGTGAGGGGTGGCTCTGGAGCTTGGATGGAAGTCTCTAGACTCTACACCCAGAGCTCCGTGTGTGCCTCTTAGTGCCCTGCCCAGCCATCTGCAGACAAACGGGCTTTCTAGAAGCAGAAAAGTCCCCTTTCGTTTCCTCCTTTCACTCTGCTTGGCCCTCTTGACTTTGTTTCTGGGTCTGCCAAGGTCTCCTATTGCTGGGACCTTGCCACAAAACTCCTGTGGGAGGTCCCCAAACTTTCTACCGCGGGGGACCCCTTCTACTCCTGCTCTCCCACTTGCTCTCTGGTCTGAAAGGTTTTTTTCCCTACCAAACTGGCTTTTATAAGTGATAGCTGAAGCATTTACTTATTTTATTAATCAAAGCCATATGTAAGGACCAATCAGGGCCTTTGGTTAGCATGAGACGGGCAAGCCACTCATTTATTCAACAAATAACGACCGAGCACCTATCATGCCCGTCATTGTTCTAGGGCGTACGAAGGGATATGGGAATGAACGAAAGAATCGAGGTGTCTGCCTTGGGGTACTTATAATCTAGAGGCAATTAATGTAACCACATAGAGTTGATCTAATTCATTGGTTGATGACTTCATTCCTCGAATTTCTATGGCTCCGGTGAGGAATTAGTTAGTCCCTGCATTGTCTGTTTGGGCTGCCTTAACGAAGTACCACAGCCTGGGTGGTTTCAACAACAGAAATTTATTTTCTCATAATTCTGGAGGCTGGAAGCCCAAGATCAAGGTGTCAGCAGGGCTGGTTTCTCTGGAGGTTTCTCTCCTTGGCTTGCAGAACGGCTGCCTTCTCCCTGCGTCCTCACGTGGTTGTCATCGCTGTGTGTGTGTCTCTGCCCTAATATCCTCTTCTTCAGTGACAGCAGTCTCACTAGACTAGGGCTCACCCTAGGGACCTCACTTAACCTTCATTACCCCTGTAAAGACCCCATCTCCAAATACAGTCGCATTCTGAGGTATTAGGGTTGGGACCTCAGCATATGGATTTTAGGGGACACGGTCCGGCGCATCACAGTTTTCATGCTCAAGGAGATTTCAGAGCAGAGGGAGGTGCTCGAGCATTTAGGTGACTCTGGCAGAGAAGGGCACAGAGACAGGGCGAATCCAGGGAGGTCAGGACACCCCTACGTCAGACAGAGCAGGCCGGGGACGCTTCCTGCAGGGGTGAGGCGGAGGTTGCTGGGCGAAGTGGGGAGAGAGAAAGAGCGGGCAGAGGAGCCGGAGAGGAGAGCTCCGGTGGGGCAGCGGCAGGGGCCAAGGCCTGGGATCCGAGGAGTTTGCAGCCGGTCACTGAGATGGAGCCCGGAGTCCCAGCGAGGGGCGGCTGGTTTAGGGAAACGACAGGAAACGAGGCTACGAGGCCGGTGGGGTCCCAGGTCTCAAGGGGCCTTGTATAAAGGCTCCAGGAGCTTGGGTTTCATCCAGAAGAGTCTTGGCTGCAGTCTGAGGGGCGCGCCGGAGGCCAGGCGTTGAGCAAGGGGCCATCGCCATGGTCTGAGCAGGGGGGTAGCTTTGGGGAGCCGCAATGGGGTGTCCTGTGGCTGCTGTCGCAAAATACCACACACCGGGGGGATTAAAACAACAGGGGCGGGCTCTCTCACAGCTAAGCAGGCCAGGCACCTGCAGTCAAGGTGTCGGCAGGGCTGGCTCCTTCTTGGGGGCCCGTCGCATGCCGCCCTCCTAGCTTTCTGCCGTTGCTGGCAGTTCTCGGCGTTCCTCGGTTTGGGGCAGCCTCAGCCCAGTCTCTGCCTCCGTTGTCACAGGGCCTTCTCTCTGTGTGCCTGTGTGCTCACGTCTCTTCCTTCTGAGGACACCACTCGCTGGATTAGGGCCCACTCTATCCCAGCATGACCTCGTCTTAACTTGGTCACATCCACAAATAGGTCACATTCACAGGTCCTGAGAGGACACAGATTTGTGGGGAGGATGCTATCAGCCCAGTAGGGAAGGCAAGCATGGGGGCAGGGAGACATTTTAGGAGCCGATGCCATGCAATCTTTGTTAGGCTTCTAGACAGATTGAAACCACCTTTCCTTTTTTTTTTTTTTTTAAACCATCTTTGAGAGCCCCCAGGAGTGAAGGTTCCCAGGCCGCAAACCACAGACCTTCAGGTCACGAGGTGTGTGGCCCCGACCCTGCTACGCTGTGGGAGGGATCGGGCTCAGAGGCAGGAGGCGAGCCTGGGGTGCATGGGCCTCTTCCTGTTGTCCCTAGGCCCGGCATCATGAAGCTCAGCGTCCTCCTTCCCCTCATCTTTGCCATATTGCTGCTTCTCTTGGTGGCCGTCTCGCTCCTGGCTTGGAGGATGGTGAAACGCAGGAAGAACGGTAAGAAGACCTGGCCGAGGCTGGGCTGCGGCTGGGCAGGGCGGAAGGGTGTGGGGCTGCTGGCCAGTGTTGTCACTCAAGCTGTGTGGTCCAAGGGGTTACCCACACAGTCTAGAGAGAGCACTGTCCCAAAGGCCACTGACAGGTGCAGTCTAAGGGTCTAGGGGGCCTGGAGCTTGCAGGTGAGGCCCAGGGGGTTTTGGCATTAGCTGCTTGCCTTGTATACCTGTCCCTGTCCTTCTTTCCTCTCTGACTCACGTCCCCCTCTTGTTTCCTGGTTTGGCTGTTGGTGGCAGAGGAAGACATTGGCTTAGGTGGGCAGCCCAGTATAGGGTGCCTAGACTAGACACCGAGTCAAGTCAGGTCTGTGTGGTCACCAAGGAGGTACTAAGCTGACACGAGGGAAGGGGGACACACACACACACACAGAGCCCTGAACAGATGCACACATGGTGCGTGTATATACATAGTGCATGTGTGCACCCCCCCACTCACACGTGCATGTGTGCTCACACAACAATCCTCTGGGTCTAATCAGAAAGTTTGGAGTGGCCTGCACTCCTGCTGCTCCCTTGCCCACCAGCCTTCCCCGGGCTGAGCCTTCCCCGGGCTGACCCTTCCTGGGCTGACCCTCTCCAGGCTGACCCTCTCCAGGCTGACCTCCCCTGGGCTGACCCACTTGCTGCATGTGAATCTGCTCTTCAGGGAACAGCCTCTTTGCTCAGGAGCCTGCACTCACAGATCACGAGATCTGGCCTCAGCCGAGCCCTTTTCCTGTCTGGCTTCACTTCCACATTCTCAGCGATTGCACCCTTCTCGGAACCGCAGGGTCCCAAGCTCCCGCCCAGCCTCTCTCCCACGCCTGTCCCTCCCACAGCCTGGGGAGCTTCGTCTGGGAGGATGTGTTGTCCATGGCCTAAGTTCTAAGGACTTTCTGTGTTCCTGGGCATCTAGTCTTTTGAAGCAAAAAACCAGTGGAAACCCCCTTGCTTCTTTGTTGTCCTTAGAGCAGGGAGGATGGGGTGGTGGCGGGGAAGGGCCAAGGGACAGAAAGAAGACAGGCCTGGCAGCCACCTGAAAACAGGTCCCCCAGCTCATGTGCTCTGCTCGGGGAGTGGCCTGGAGCAATCCCGCCTCTGCAGACGATTATTGCCGACTGAGCACCCACTGCTGGCACTGGGGATGCGAGACAGGGACAGCCGGGCCACCCCGAGTTCAGTGGGCTGAAGGAGGTGACACAGACATAGAGCAGGTGCCTTGGGATCGGGGCACAAGGTTAGATGGCCTGGGCGGGGGCGGAAGGTAGGGTGGCACTGAATTGAACCCTGAAGATGAATCCCGTAGAGAAGTGGTGGAGTCACAGGTAGAATTTCCAGCAGAAGTGACAGGCTGAGCCCGGGATTCTGGAGAAGGAAACTTAATCCCAGGAGAGCTGCTGGCTGGCAGGGCCACCTGATCAGCTGATCGCACAGTTCCATGATTGGGGAACAGGGGGCGGAGGTGTCCCCCCTTTCAGGTGGAGAAATGGAAGCTCAGAGGGGCGACGTGACCACTGCCACAGCATGTGTCATCTGAAGAGTCAGCATTAGAACCAGGTCCCCATCTCTGAGCCTAGAGCTTAATTCAGTCCTTTTCTTCCATGTTTCTCTTCCCCAGACCTGGGGGCTCCTGTGAACCTCGAGGATGGGCTTTCTAATTCTAGATTGTTTTTGTTTTCTAGCATCTGGGTTACCTCCAGAGCAGGTAAGAGAGTCCCCAGGGTCGGACCAGAGAGATCAGGCAGCTCCTCTCCCCCTTCCTCATTTTCCCTCTCCCAGAAGCTCCAAAAGCATCAGATAAGCCATATGTCAAGTAGCCACATACTCATGGGCCCCTGTGGGGCCTGGGAGGATGGGGGGCCAGAAACAGCGGGGGGGGGGCAGCAGGGCTGGCAGCATGGGAGCCCGAGAAGTGGGGCGCAGAAGGACTGGGAGGAAGCACTTAGGGGAGCAGAGAGGCCCCTGAAGCCCTGCGGAAGAGGAACCCGTGCCCACACCCGGGGCTTGTGACTCCTCGGCCTGTGTTCCCTTTCCCAGGTGTCACAGCCCCTGGAGGATGAACTCTGCTATGCAAACCTGACCCTGCAGAGGACAGGAACCTCCCGCAGCTCCTCGCGGAAAAAGGCCTGCACAGAGCCCTCCTCCTCTGCCCAGGAGGAAGTGGAATATGTCACCATGGTGTGTCTTTTGTGGGGGCTGCAGTGATGCTGGTGGGGGGCAGGCCTGCCATTGTTCCCCCTTGGCGTGTGGGCTTTCTCCCGCTGGCTGGCGCGGGTACAGCCGAGATGGACGCAGGGACCAGTGAAACACGGTCGTCTTGCAGGGCAGGAGGGAGCGGAGGGAGGGTCTGAGCGACCGGGGATTCTGTAGGAAACGCGCTGCCCTGGTGCACAGCTGAGGATCTGCCCTGTCCTGGCTGCAGCCTGGCAGAGCGGAGGGACACTGAGGATGTGGGAGTGGACGTCAGAAGCTCTCAGGGGTCTGCTTCCGCCAGCCTCATCCGAGAGCTCCTCTGTCCACGGCCACAGCTTCCTGCCGGCCTCTCCGACCTCGTGGCCATCTCCCTTGCAGGCCCCCTTTCCGAGGGAGGAAGTTTCCTACGCATCTCTGACTCTGGGCGACTTGGATCAGGAGGCGACCTACAGCAACACCGGCCAGCTCACCACCCACATCCCCGGCGCGAGCCACGAGGACCCCACGGAGTACAGCACCCTCAGGAGTCCTTAGCGCGGGGCCCCGTGAGGCCCGTGAGCCGTGTCCTGCCTCATCTGCCTTCTGTCCCCGCCCCCCTCACCAGGACAGCTGCTGGCAGCGGCCTCTGCCTGATCAGCCAGCGGAGTCGCCAGCCCTGGGGCCTAGTCTCGGGGGGCTTCTGGGAGTTATGGGTGGTCTTTCTGCACCCCCCTCCTGCTCTCCTGCAGAGCTGGGGAGGGGTCTGGGGATGTGCCCTGATGATAAAGATTACAATAGTAATTGACCTTTATTTATTGCCCCCAAGATATCTGTGTCCTAATCCCCAGAACCTGTGAATGTCACCAAGGGGACTGTGCAGATGTGTCCGAGTGACGGGGAGACCGTTCTGGATGATCCACATGGACCCGGAATAGAATCACCAGGGTCCTCGGAGGAAGGAGGCGGGGAGGTCAGAAGAGGAGAAGGCAGGGCTGGGGGTGCCGGGGCCTCCCGCAGCTGGCAGAGGCTTCTCCCCGGGGCCTCCAGAGGGAACCAGAAAGGAGCACCTTGACCTGAGCCCCATGAAACTGATTTTGTACTTCTGGCCTCCAGAACTGCAGGACAATAAATGTGTGTCGTTTGTCGTAAGCCACTACATTTGCGGTCATTTGTTACGGCAGCAACGGGAAACTCCCGAGCTACGTGGCAAGTGCTTTTCCCTAAATGCTTCACATGGAGTGACTGATTTAATCCTCACAACCCCACGAGGCACTTCTATTATTGTTCCCATCTTGCAGACGAGGAACCCGAGGAATGGAGGGGTTCAGTTACGTGAACCCCGCTTTATGGCTGGTGAGCAGGTGAGTCGGAAATTGACCCAGGCATGTTGGCTCCAGAGTCTGGAGTCCCTGCCCTGACCCTGGACTGTTTGTATAAGGAGTTAGCGTGTGTGCGCGCATGTGCACGTGCACGCATGCTCGTGTGCATACATGTGCGTGTACACAGCCGCTCGCACAGGGATAGTTAGCGAGTATGCATGGGCACTGCACTTACTGTCTTCATTCTAGAGTCTTGGCAGCTCTCCCTCCAGAGTATATCCTGAATTCCATGGTGTCTCATCGTCTCCATGGTTACCAGCCCAGTCCCAGCAACCTGGCAACCGCCCGATTCCTGCCTGGACTCCCTCTTTCATTCTCTGCCCCTGGGTCCATTCTCCTCCCAGCAACCAGAGGGATCATTTCAAAGCACAGACCTGAACAGTCCCTGCTTATAAGCTTCCGGTGGCTTCTTTCCCAGGGGATCCACGGCCCCTGTGTGCGCTTGGACCCCATCTTCCTTCTCGTCCCCTCTCACTTGCTCTGCTCTGTCCACCCCGGCCTTTTTTCTGTCCTTCTAATAAGAGGAGGCCTGCTCCCTTCTCTGGGCATTGGCACTTGCTGTTCTTTCTGGAATGCTTTCCCCCAGATCTGTGACTAGTTAGCTTCTCTTTTTATCATCACATCTCAGCTCAAATGTCACCTCTCAGAGAGGCCTTCCCTGGCCACCTAAGGGCAGCAGCCCCTGCGACTTGTGACCCACCTCTAATTTCTCTGTCTCCTTCCCCTATTTTATTTCCCTCTTAGCATTTACTTATTTATTTTTTTGGTATCTGGGTTCATTGCTTCCCCTTCTCCACAAAGCTGTAGCTGCCTGAAGGTGGGGACTTCGTCTCATTCACTCCTGGGTCCCCCCATGCCTAGTTTGTGTCTGGCACGTGGTGGGCTCTTGAAGGTTTGTTGATTGACTCAATGAATAAATAATGTGGTTGATTCAGACTTGGGAACACAAGGAAAGCTCTCAGTGGCAGAGATAGCAGTGCTCGTCGTTCTGGAAAGGAAGTCACGGGCCAAGCAACTGAAGGAATTTCAGGATTCACTGCCCAGAAGCATGACGTGGAGAGACCGCTTTCTCCCTTCTTGAGAATCGGGAGAGGGGAGAGGCCATGATGTCCTCTGGCTGGAGGACAAAGGCCTGTCACTTCACTGAAGCTGATTTGGATGAGGCCGGGGATAAAGCGTCAGGGACAGGCTTGGGAAGCCATGCTGAGCCAGTGACCCAGCGGGTCCAGGGGCTGCAGATGTGTGTGGCAGGCCATTGTCAGTGTTTCCTGGGGTTTGCCTGACTTCTCACGGCTGTGGACACCCCACATGGATCTGGCACTGGTGAGGTTGGTGGGTGGATCCTGCTCCCATTGCACCAAAGATGATTCCCTAGAACCTCAAGAGCGTTTCCATCCTGGGGGGACTCGCAGAGCCCAAGCAAGCTTGACTGTTCTCGAGCTAATCCCTTAAGCTGGTCAGGTCAGAGTGAGGTTGTTTTTGACGCAGGCTGTTTTAAGATTTACTGAGCAAGAAGTGCCTACAGAGAGATCTTAAAATGAAAAAGTTCGAAGAAGAGCAAAATTAGAGTGAGTCAAAGTCTAAGAATAAAAGTCAATGGAAGCCCTTTGACTTCCAGGGCATCTCTGCACCCTTTCAACTATTGGACGTGCAATGGCTTTATTTAAAACAGCCAGCACCAAACAGAATGTACAAGTACATGCTTATGTTGGATAGTAAGGAATTCATCTCTTCTGGTAATGTACAATCCCAGATCGCAGTGAAGATTATTGCTGTGAAACTTCTGACATAAATCTACTAATAGAAACACAGAAAAGATTAGAATTTAGCTTAGTTGGCTTGGCTGGAGGAATCTGGCTGCTTCCACCTTTACCTGGACGGTGGACCCGGGCTGGAAGTGGAAGGTTGTGGCTTGGCTGAGTTGCGTGGTGAATCAGCATAGAAAGGCGGATCCACCCGGATCACTTTTTTTTTTTTTTTTTTTGAGACAGAGTCTCACTTTGTTGCTCAGGCTAGAGTGAGTGCCGTGGCATCAGCCTAGCTCACAGCAACCTCAATCTCCTGGGCTCAAGGGATCCTCCTGCCTCAGCCTCCCGAGTAGCTGGGACTACAGGCATGCGCCACCATGCCCGGCTAATTTTTTGTATATATAGTTTTAGTTGGTCAATTAGTTTCTTTCTACTTTTAGTAGAGACGAGGTCTCCCTTAGGCTTGTTTCGAACTCCTGACCTTGAGCGATCCACCTGCCTTAGCCTCCCAGAGTGTTAGGATTACAGGCTGTGGGGCACCTCGCCCAGCCCTGATCACTTTTAAGTACCTTAAGCTTTGGAAAAAAGAAAGTCTACAAGATGGATATATTACTGGGATATAATGTTTTTATCCAAAATTCCAGCCATCTGGATTTGAGCCATCTGTATAGCTCTCTGAAAAGGGACTTTATATCCTCGGAGATGGCGTTGACTCATCCCTGGCATTCATGAACCAGTCCAGTCAATTCCGTAGCTGGACGGACCAGATTCTGACCGGTGGTCCTGCTGGGAAGAGTCTAGGCTCTTTCTGTGTTGGGTTTTGACCACAGGAGTCAGCCTCTAATCCGGCCTGATTTGTTCAAGCCTGAGCTGGAGTTTGGAGAGTGCTGGGGGAGTAGCCAGGGCGAGGGCAGGGAGGCTAGCACATTCAAGAGGCTGGAGAGGAAATTGTTTCATAATGTTTCCAGGTTTGTGTCTGGGCATTGTCTCAGCCGTAGCCAGCTGCGCCATGATGACTTGGCTAAGGCAGATTTGGGTGGCCGGCCAGCACCTTTACCGCAAGGGAGTGTGCAGATACGGCTCCTCTGGTCTCAGTGAGGGTGGCATTTACTCCCTTGCTGTGTGGTTTCCAGGAAAGCACATTCTGTTGAAACAAAGTCCAAGATCCTTAAGCACTCCGTTCTGATTGAGTGCCTGATTATTTATAGCCCGTCTAAAGTTGCTGGGGTTTCCCTCCTTTGGTTTTTGAATTATTAATATTTAAAGATTTCACTTGATAAAATTGTAGGGTTTGGATAGTCTCCTTTTGAGAACTATGTGTATATCCTTGGCTCCCATAAGAGTCAGTTGAGGGAGAAAAAAAAAATACTGGTCTGGTAACTTCCAAGATAGATAATTGAGATAAAAGTTGCCTTAAAGTGATGCTAAAGGCTACTTTTACTTGATAACCTTGGAAAACAGTTCATAGCTTTGGAAGGGTTGACTGCTGGAATGGGTTGATTTCATGTAGCAATAGTTATTTAGATTGAGAGGGACAGATACAGTGATCAGCCTTTTATTTTACCAAGTAGGTGCAGTCTTATCTGGTGTAATTGGATTTGGTATTTGTCTGGTTCACTGAAAAAGTTGGTTAAACCAGGAAATCATAAAAGAGATAATACTGTACTCTTTCTTTAAGTGTTTTCTTTGGACCTAAAATATCTAAATGTGTATTTACTTGCGAGTAATTTTGATGTAGAAGTCTGTCCTTTGCTTATGGCCCTAACTGCCACGTTTGCTGCACAAACCAAACACATTGTAATGTCCTGGAGTTCTGGCTCCCAGTTTCTTTAACCTGGAGCAAGAAATTCTAGACGCTTGCGAAGCCATCAGATTGTAAAACCCATCTTCATTTGTATCTTTTCCTCCCAGTATTTACAGTTCTCTCACCCATTCCCAATGTGACGGCATTTTTCTTTTTTCGAACGACAGACTTCTATAGAGTCTTTCCAAAGCATTCGATTTAGTTTTTGTAGAAATAATAGTTCTCTTTTTGTTTACACTCTGATTTCATAGGTCAATGTTCTTTCTGTTTATGCTCTTAATTTTTTGGTTTATGAATGAATTCATTCAATTGCATCATTATAGTTCACGCGCTTGACCAGTGCAAACGAGTTCAGACCCAAACGCAGCAGACCTTGCTACCCAGGCACCTCAGTGGGCGAGAGCAGAAGGGAGTGGGCCTTCCAGAGAGGAGCCCGCCAGTCGTGCGCTCTTGCCGCGTCTCAGGCACGAAGTCAGTGTGCTCCACCAGCAGAAGTTGGTTAAGCGAGGGATTGGTGAAGAAAGTTTCCACTAAGTCATCCGTCATTACTATAACTTCATCAAAGAAAGGACATTCTAACACCCCATGTCTCAGTGTAATAGATGACATTTCCCAAAAAAGAAACGGTAACTGCACGCTGACATCTATTTATGTTGCGTGTGTGTAGTTTCCTACAAATTGATGGATACTCTGCCAAGGGCTGGTACTGTCGCGTGGACTAGGAATGGGCAGCCATTGATCTGGCTCATGCTAGTTTCTGACATGAATCTTCTCTATGACCCCGCTGATGTAGCTTGGCTTCCCCGAGGGCCTCCAGCGGTTACAAAAAAAGGCTCCTCCCAACAGTCAGATTCCCCTCTGCCCCAGCACAAGTTCCTTCCCCAAAGTAGCCACCTCCTCACATGTGACCACATCCTCACGTGGCCCAGTGCGGAGAGTCTGCAGTCCTTGCACCAGGACTTCCTTGCTCCAGGAAAGGGTGACCGGCTCATTTGTTTTGCTAAAGGTACCTCTGAGGTTGGGCTCAGAATTAAGGGAGAGGAGAGACTGTCCCCGAGGGTCAGAAATACAGAAGAGACATTCTGAACCCTTGTGTGCCAGAGCACTCTGGTCACTGGAAGGGGCTGCAATGTTCAGACGGTGCACTCATTGCAAAACCTCACACGGCCCTTTCAAAATTAATCAGCCACAAAAGCAGAAGGGCTAAGCCCCAGAGAC